TGCAAAGCTGGCTGGGGAATTCTGGGAATCAAAGTCCATACTTCTTAAAGTTGCTAAGGTTGAGAAACATTGGTGTAGACCAGGGGTGTCAAACTTGCGTTGTCATGGCGTCATCATGTGACATATCACGACTTTCCTCCCCTTCGCTAAACTAGGTGTGGGCGTCGTCAGCGTGTGACGCACCCGGCCCGCAAGTTTGACAGCCCTGGTGTAGACTTTAAAAATCCCAGTCCATCTCCACAATAGTCTTGAAAGATGCGCTAAGTCGGTCACTGGTTTTAACCCAAATTGTTCCATTTCCTAGGGAAAGAAATATGTTTATCCTCAAGGGACACAGGAAGCCTTCAGATGGTTCCCTCCATCTTCTGTGATGCTTCTTTTCCTACCTGAGTTGGAGCTTCTGTCAGTGTCTTGATTCCACCAGGCAAGGGAGATAACCCCAAAGCTGCCCATGATATAGTTCCATTCCCTATCAGAAATGTAAAAGTGAAGGAAGAAATTGTCAAAACGTAATTAATTAACACCTAAGAAGAAGAGACAAAGGATAAGTGATAAGAGTAGAATCTGTCTGTTTTATTTGAAATACTACTCCCTTACTTTATTTATTTTATTTATTTCTTATTTGATTTGATTTGTCAATCGCTTATAAGATAATAGGTATAAGTATAAACAGTGTAAGAATACAGGAAATAAGTACGAATAAATGGGGATAATAGGACAGGGACAGTAGGCACAATTGTGTACTTATGCACGCCCCTTACAGATCTCTTAGGAATGGGGATAGTTTGAGTTTAAAGGAGTTGGGGTTAGAGGATCTTACTTACCTAGTAAGATGTCAGAATTTTGATCATCTTGGGAGGTTCCAAGCTCTGGAGACAGATTTGAAGGAGTCCTTCTTCCCTTGGGAAATTTTGGGACCAGGAAGGATCCTTGCCCCTAAAAGATCCAAGAAAATTGAGAGAAGCACACACAAAAATGGATTCTCACTCTCTGCTCACAAGCTTGTATCCCGTGTCTATCAAAGGGGATGAAAGAGGACAATAAAATAAACTTTGTAAGTACAAGTCCAAAAACTTGGAACTTCTAGTCCTGGTGACCGACAAAACCTCTGTTCCCAGTGACCAACCCAGATTGGATCCGGCAATAAAATAATTACCCTAAATGTACATCCTAGAAAGAGTATTGGTGCAATTTGTCTAAAACGCTAAATCTTGTACGTTGCATGCCAGAAAACTCTGATAGAAATGGGTTCAAGAATCCAAAATTCAAACAACAGATTGAAATTGTTTATTACTTTGTGTCCTCTTTAGAATGCCAGAGTTAAGATCCTCTCACCTGCCGCTGGAGCTGCTCCTTCTGCTCCTCCGCCTGGCTCAGGAGGAAGCCTTCCGCCAGGGCCACTGCCTGGGAGCTGGTCTCTGCTCCACACTCCCGCACCCAGCCCTCCATCTCCGGGGGCAGGACAGCCAGGAATTGCTCCAGGATCATCAGGTCCAACACCTGGGCCTTTGTATGTCTTTCCGGCTGCAGCCACCCATGGCAAAAGTGATGGAGATGGCTGCAAATGTCTCGGGGCCCCTTAACTTCCTCATAGTGGATATTCCTGAAGTGCCAATGCTGGTCCTCTGAACCCATTGTCGTCTCTTCCATCATAATAGTTCCTGCTCAAATCTCCCCACAGCTTCCTTTTCCAGTTCCCTCAGCTGCTGGATATTGTGCCTCCATTTTCTAATTGTTCTCTAAATGGGGCCAATGTATCTGAACCATCCTCAGATTAAAAAAAACAAGATTACTGGGACTATGCAAATACATATGATAGTAGAAAAGCAAAATGGGTTTTCCACAGAAAACTACGAAAGACTCAAAATATTGACTCTTTTAGACCTTTTAGGGTATTTATGGATTTATTTATCTATGGATTTCTTTTCCTGACAGCAAACAAAATATTCCTGACAGCATTTTGGATCATAAATGTACATCCGTGCATTTTTGACAAAGGCAACGCTCACTCATAATGTACCTAAAACGAGATGAGCAAACTATAACACCCAGTTTTACTTAACATGGAAAGGCCAAGAAATCAGATTGTAGCTTAACACAGTGTTTCTTAACCTCAGCACTTTTAAAGTGTGTCGAATTCTGGGAATCGAAATCCATGCATGTTGATTGAGGAATTCTGGGAGTTGAAATCCATCCATGCTCGCTGGGGAATTTTGGCAGTCGAGGTCCATAGAACATCAAATCATAGGGCTGGGAGGGATCTCGGACATCTTCTAGTCCAACCCTCTGCTCAAATCAGGAGATCCTTACCATCCCAGTCAAATGTGGGTCCTCTATTCTTGAAAACCTCCAGTGATGGTGCACCCACAAGTTCAGGAGGCAAGCTGTCAAAATTAACTTCTGTCGCTGTCAGGAAATGTCTCCTCCCTTCTAGGCTGGCTCTCTTTTTTTAACAAGCTTCCATCCATTCAGGTTGACCAACATTTGTCTGAATGTGAGGTTCTGGGCCAGTCAGCCTCCTAAGCACAATTGATACACACTCACAAAGCAGACTGTGCAAATGCACCCAGGCAACCACGCTGGCTTCTCCCTATTTGGAAAACCTTATTTTCCAGCTTGGGTCTTGCAATGCAAACTCCTTCTTCTCCCCCCTCCCTACTTAGGGGCTTGCTCAGGAAGAGGGTTTAGAGGGATCCTCCAGATCCTCCTTCCTGGAGATCCTGGGTTTGTTCCTGAGGCAACACAGCTGGCCTGGAGCTCTGCTTATCCCCACTGCTTGCCATTTGCATGCACAGGGGCGGCAGGGGAACATGGGGCCAGGGACTCCCCCACCTCACCCCGGCCAGATTCCAAAGATTGAAGCTGGGTTGTGGCCTTTGCAAAAACTCTTTGCAATCCCAGCAGGAACATTCCACTAAAAAGAGCTCCCGCTCCACTCACCAGGCAACATCCCCTCCCCGCAAAACGCCCCCCCTTGACGGCTCGATTGAGGGATGGCGAAGCCCTGGAGTAGCCAGCCCCGCCCCCTCCCTTCCCCTCTCCAGCATGCAACGCGTCCTCGCCGCGCATGCCCTGTTCGCGGCTGAAGCTTGAAGGCGGCTCGTCCTGTCACAGGATTGCCCACGCCGACTTCACTGGGAAAGGCGGGAAGGGTCCAGGATGATGGAGGGAGAAGGAGAAATGGGATATGAAGTCCCTTTCCTCACAGAACGTAGCTCAGGAATAAAAATACGTCTGTCAACGCCAAGGTGTTCAGGAAAGGAAACACCTGAAGGCTCTGAAATCAATATTAAACTAAGATCTGAAGGGCAAGAAGATTTGCCTTAAAAATGGGTGCTGTGGAGAATCTGTAGCTGCCAGAAGAGATAACAGAATAATAGAGTTGGAAGGGGCCTTGTAGGTCATCTAGTTCAACACCTCCCACCCAAGAAGCTTGAAGGAGCATCAAGGACGACCAAACTCTCTGCCAAAACAGCTGGATGTCCAGCCAAAACGACTGGATGTCCAACCCTGCCACACTTTTAATTCCGATAAATTCATCCCAAGGAATACCAGGAGGGCCTGGCAAAAAGAAAAAGAATGAAATGAAACTGTGGAAATTAAAATTAAAAAAAAAGTCCTGTTTGGGCCACGATGGTGGCTATGGCTCAAATGGGGTGAAGCAATGGGGCAGGAGAATGAAAATCCCAAAGAAAACAAAACAGAATAGAAGGAAAATGGGAATTAAATTGGATAAACTGCTGAAAAAACACAAGAGTTTTTTCACCTCAGGCTGGAAAAATTACTTCAGAAAATTCATAATCTTGGGAAATGAAGGTTGACGAGGCTCTTTGGGAGTGAACTGAAAAAAGCACGGACAGAAAATGAAATGGCAGCAAAGAACTGGAATATGAATGAAAGAAAAAACGTTTAATCTGAGTAGGAAAAAAACCTGTTTTATTGGGGATTAAATAGGTGGCTATTGACAATTCTCCCCCAAAATATGAATAGCAAATGAAGAGGCTGCAAAAATTGAAACAGCCCAAGTAGCTTGAGGTTATGAAAGAAAATAATGTCTGCAACAAAATTTCATTTTAATGTATGCTGATTAGTATATGTTTAAAGTGACAATAACATTATTCTAAATCTAAAAGAAATGCCTCAGAAAAATAAAATAGATTTTCTGTTCTAAGTCAAGATGTAAAACAGGAATCCAGACCTATTTGAAGAGGCTCATTGGCATGTGAGGATGAAAAGGGAAAAAAGATTTATGGTTTGAACCAGAAAAAAAATGGAGAAAGAGGGGAAAACCCCTCCATTTAAAAAGATAACACTTTTTTTTATTATTTTGTATAGTTGTGGAATTATCTTCCGGTGATTTTTTAATCTATTAGAAAGTCTTAATTTTGTGTATGTCTTTAAAACATTTCTATCTTGTTCACATTTGTGTTATTGCCAAATCTGATAAATAATTATACCAAGCCCTTAATAAACATTTTAATACCAGGCCTAATAGAGGTGTTTACAGGTTATAATAACCATACATTTGTCTTTACTTTTACCAGGAACAGTTGCTTGAGTGTTTTTTGAGAAAATTGCTACAAGCCAGTACGCAATTGAAATATGAGTCTGCAAAATCTTCCAAAGCCTCATCTGCAATTTCCAATATGCCTGACAAATGATACACCAATCTTTTGGGCACCAGAGACCAGTTCAGAGGAGACAGATTTTTCTGCAGAATGGAGGGGGCGTTGTTTCATACGGATGGGACTTTGCTTGTTTGCACAGCCTGGTTTCTGGCATGCTACAGACCGGTGCTGGTCAATGGACCAAGGGTTGGGAGTTGGGAACCCCTGCAATACATCACAAGAAAATAATCATATCACGTCCATTTAATATTAATGATACAAACTTAAAATTCAGATTATGTTTTGATACGTCACACTGTCGAAAAGCAATATTTTGCCCCATTCCTTGGAAAGGGTTTTTATTTTCTACAAATTTTTAAGGACCTCCTGCCACTGTGGTTCCTTTTTTGAAGAGACACTCTTTCTTTGAAGCTCTTTTCACATGTATATATTCATATTGTTTCTTTCCAGCGTGGATTCTTTGACAAAATAAAATGACCCCTTTAATTGAAAAATCTCCAATGCTTTCTGTATCAACATTGATTGTCCCTAGTCTCAATTTTATAGCATTGTCATAAATCTGATTTATCTTTGTATCTATTTCCACACAAGGCACCAAAAAAACTCTTTTTGATTCTCTTTTGATCCTGTTTGGTCACGACAACCTGGATTATGGCAGATTCAGAAGTATAGGATTTCTTGCTCACATTCTTGAAGTTTTCTCACTTGCTTTAGTCACCGAACAATATTTCCAAATGTCTCTTTCCTCAGTTCATCCTTGATCGTTTGTGACATCAGCATGCTGGACTTTAATTCTCCTTTTTTTCTGAATCCCGTACTTAGGACAAAAAGAAAGAAGGTCATGAGAAATTCAAGGCACCAACTTTCTAAGTTCCCCTTTTCAACTCAGTATCACCAACTTTCTCTTCCCCCTTTTTCATTCATTACAATTTGAATGAAACTTAAATTACATTTGCATTCGCTTATTACCTCACACAAAAGCTTTATATCTTTACTGAGCCATTTCCATTTTTTTATAAAAATAGACGAGTGTTTTCCTTCCCCTGCCACATAAAAAGAAAAAACAGAATCCTAATAGGATTAGATAAAGGAAGGAAACATCACAACACAGAATGGGACTGGAAATATGTTGAATTTTAATCTACACATTTCCTACATTGCAAGCAATTTTGATAAATCTCTATCTTGTAGAAGTGTATTGGCATTGGGGGATACAGGTCCTTTCAATGACTCAGTAAAATACACCTCCCTAACAGTGATGAGATTCAAATTTTTTTACTACCGGCTTGGTGGGTGTGGCAGGGGAAGGATACTGTAAAATCTCCAGTCAGAGGTGGTATCTGCTGGTTCTCTGAAGTACTCAAAGTTTCTGCTACCTGTTCTCCAGATCTGGTCAGAATCATCTGAATACCATGTCTGCTCCCTAATATTTGTCTAAACACATTCCTTCCACAGCTAACATGTGGAAGCAGCTAGCTAATTGGGGGCAACAGAAGTCAAGGTTGAATAATATATAAGCCTGAACAAACCATAAACTGGCATGGTATAAGACTTTGACATGCTTACAAACATGCATACTTTGGATTTTGAAACAAAAGTGGAAGTCTTAAGCACCTGATTCTCAAAAAAATAATAATTATCCTATTAACCTGAAACAATATTGGGGCCTTAAATGACAGAACCTTCAAAAGTCATTTATTTCAAACTATAACCGTCCAGTTTATACTGCTTTCCTTGCTAAATGCTGTGAATATTCCTATCTAGCCTTAGTTAGGATCAGGTGTAAAGAGGCAGAATTTACAGAGCAGGGGTGTCAAACTCGCGGCCCGTGGGACGGATGCGTCCCTCCCTGGCCACGCCCACCCCCATTTTAGTGAAGGGGAAAAAGTCACAATACATCACGTGATAACGTGACGATGTGAGTTTGACACCTCTGTTATAGAGGAAGTGGTTTTTCCAATTCTGCATAAGAAATATAGCATATATATGGACTGAATCAAATCAATATGACATTTACCTGAGTGGATTCTTAAATGGGAGGTCAGGTGATTTTTCCTCTGGAAGCTCTTTCCACAATCAGTACATTCAAATGGCTTCTCTCCTGTGTGGATTCTTTTATGGGACTTAAGAGATCCACTATAACGGAAACTCTTTCCACACTCCAAACACTCATATGGTGTTTCTCCTGTATGAATTCTTTTATGAACGGTAAGACAACTATTTTCACGGAAACTCTTTCCACACTCCATGCACTTGTATGGTTTTTCCCCTGTGTGAATTTTTTTATGGGAAGAAAGGGAAGTACTACTCCAAAAACTACTTCCACACTCCATGCATTGATATGATTTCTCCCCTGTGTGGGTTCGTCTATGAATAACAAGATATTTATTTTCACGGAAGCTCTTTCCACAGTCCTCACATATATATGGTTTCTCCCCTCTATGGATCCTTTCATGAATAACAAGAGATGTATTTCCACTGAATCTCTTTCCACACTCTTTGCATTTATACGGCTTCTCCCCTGTGTGGACTTTGTTGTGAGAAATGAGTTGGTTCCTACTTCTGAAGTCCTTGCCACACTCCAGGCATTTATAGGGTTTCTCTCCCAAGTGGATCCTGATGTGGGAAGTAAGAGTTCCATTGTGACGGAAACTCTTTCCACACTCCAGGCATTTGTACGGCTTTTCCCCTGTGTGAATTCTTTTATGAATAGTAAGACACCTTTTTTCATGGAAACTCTTTCCACACTCTGTGCACTTGTATGGCTTCTCCCCCGTGTGGGTTCTTTTATGAACAGTAAGAGATTTATTTTCGCGGAAGCTTTTTCCACAGTCCTTGCATTTATATGGCCTCTCCCCTGTATGGATCCTTTCATGAACAGTAAGAAACTTGTTCTCACGGAAGTTCTTACCACAGTGTTTGCATTTGTATGGCTTCTCCCCTGTATGGATCCTTTCATGAATAATAAGAGGCGTGCTTCTGTGGTAGCTTTTTCCACACTCTTTGCATTTATATGGCTTCTCCACTGTGTGGAATTTCTTATGAGAAAGGAGGTGGCTGCTGCTTCTGAAGTTCTTGCCGCACTCCAAGCACTCGTATGGCTTTTCCCCTGTGTGAATTCTTTTATGAATAGTAAGAGACTTATTTTCACGGAAGCCTTTTCCACAGTCCTTGCATTTATATGGCTTCTCTCCTGTATGGATCCTTTCATGTACAATGAGGGATTTATTCTCACTTAAGTTCTTTCCACAATACTTGCATTTATATGGTTTCTTCTTCAAGAAGACTCTCTTATGGCATATTAGAGATGTCTCTTTGCTGACGGTTTTTCCATATTCCGTACCTTTATATGGTTTCTTTCCCAGCTTGATTCTTTCACATGGAGGAGTGAAAGTCTGAGTATAAGAAGATTCGTCCTTCTGATATACATACTGCTGTCCTCTAATGTGAACTCTATAATCTTTGCTGAAATCAGATATGTCCTGGAATATCTCAACATTTTTCTCCCTTTGTCCTTTGTTACCCCGTTGAACAAGAAAGTCTTGAACTTGAAGGTCCTGAAAAATGAAGCTTTCTCCCACATGGTTTTGTTGCACTTGAATCTTCTCTTTTCCTGCCTTCTGACTGATGGTTTGGCATAGTTCTTTGTCATTTTCATTCTCCTGTCCATTAACACCTTGAGAAAAAAGAAAAAGAAAATGAAAATCATGTGAAATTAATCAAGAAAACATAGGAAGCAATTGTGAATGTTCAAGACAATAGTATTTTTAAAAGCTGTTCTACTGATCTAAAGTAAGGATCTTCAAACTTGGCAAGTTTAAGACTTGTGGACTTCAACTCCCAGAATTCCTGAGCTATCATGACTGGAAGAGGAATTCTGGGAATTGAAGTCCACAAGTTTTTTTTTCCAAAGAGTTTTTTTCTTTAAAGTCCACAAGTCTTTTTTTTTTTTAAGCAAATTTTATTAATTTCAAAGACAAACAAATCATCATCAACCATTACATATTTGAACCATTTTCCATTATAAATTTTACAAGTCAGATAAAACCTTATTTTATACAATACAATTCTATTTTAAGCCATTTCCATATGAGCATAAAAATACCTCTTATCCAATTTCTCTTTACTTCTCTTTACTCTTATTCAATTTCGCTATTATTATTTCATCTATTTCTTTCTGACTTGGTTACCATTATTCTCATTCTGTATTTCTACAAGGTTTTATTAATACTCTCAAATACATAAACACACAACAAACAAACATATAAAAAATCTTTTAGGAAAGTAACTTGGCCCCAGGTACCTCTCTTTATATGGGCTTCAATTATATTCATGCTCATCTTACATATCATTACCTATTTTATTTACCATTCTATATCTTCTATATAAACTTCTCCACACATTTCACTCTTCATAATTCTATCTTATTTAATCCATCTTAATTTAAATTATTATATTTGTATCTTTTGCCCATTCTTTATTATCCCTCTATCTCATTCCTTATAATGAAAAAAAAAGAATTTCTCCTGAAATCACTAATCAGAGTATGATGCCTTTCTATCCTCCCCCTAAATTAATTAGATTAACATTTAAAATAACACCTAATACCCAATCTGATTCTGCTTGGTACATTCTATCTACTAATTTTTTTTTAATAATAATAAAAACGGAGTAATAAATCCAAAATGATTAAATACATAGATAAATAATAAATCTAAATATTAAATTATAACATTCCCATTGCCTTTTCAAAAAACAAATGCTACTATAATAGTTTTATAATAACATCAATACCATAGTCATATTAAACTCTTTAATTAAAACTCAATATTCTAAACATTCCCTTTAATATTTTATTAAATTTTAAAATCAATCATTATTAAACATTTCAACATTTTAATTTCTTATTAACTCTTAAACCATTCTAATTTTCTATTTCTAATACAGATGTTACAATACCATCTTATGTACCTTGCAAAATCTTTTTTAAGAAAATTGTACTTTACCCTTTGTCCCTAAAAAAAATTCCTCTTTTCCCATCTAATTTCAAAACTTTGTGGCTTTTCTCCGCCTTTCCCCTTTCTTTCTTCCCCCACCAAATCTTCCTACCCCACCTTCTTCTAGCCTCTGCCTTGCTGGCATCCCTTCTCTGTTGTGTTCCCTTTTTCTTTTGTTTACTATCATTATATTTATTTTGCATCTTATTTTTCTCTTTCTTGAATGTTTTTTTAGATCTTAAGTCCTTCATTTTCCTCGCTTTCTTCCTTCCTTCTTTCTTAGTTAAATTTTGGGATTTATTAAAGATGGCGTCTTCGTCTTCTTCTTCTTGTTCTTCTGCCTCCATCTGTTGTATTGTTTGTTGATAGTTAACCAGCGCCATTTCTAAAAAAAGGAAGGCTTTTTCCATACCATCTTTACCGTCTGTTTTTGTTTGCTCATATTCTTCCCTCAGTTCCTCAAAAGAAAAAGCCATTATAGATCTTTTCTTTTCTTTTCTTTTTTCCCTCTTTCTTCTTACACCAACCAAGATATTAAAAAAAAAAAAAAAACAATCCCAAAATCCTCAATCAATCCAAGCCAAGACAAAATTCTCCCTTTCTCTTCCAGGGGTAGTATCAGACAAAAGAAAAAAGAAAATCCAAATCTGTATTTTAAAGCCTTATTGGAATTATATTTCTGTCTTCAAATCCTTAAGGCATCTCCTCCAACAAAATCAAACCAGATGAATATATTTTTTGTCCTCTCCCTTCCGACTTATCCCATAAAGCTAGTTTTACCTGAAAAAAAACAGGTTTCTCAATATCCACTTATTAATTCCGTCGGGAGGGAGAATAAACTTTCCTTTCAGCACCTCAAAATTGCTGCTTATTTCCTCTTGTGGAAAGAATCATCCAAAAAGCCATCATTTCCAGGAATTATATTAAATGTATCTTAGAGTCCTGGATCAACCAAGAAAACTTTCACTCTCAAAAGCTTTCTCCTCTTCCTCCTGCACATACTTGCCCAGCTGCCGGCTTCTTTGTGGCGGCCATTGCGGACCGCCGCTGCACCGTCTTGGGAAAAGGGGGTTCTGCCGGCCGGGGAGGGGGTCTGCAACACCCCCAAACCCCTCTCCGGATCCCCCCTATCTTCAGCTACCCCTGCAGGGTAGCCTAGCTCTGGACCTGTCCGGATCGGAGCACCAAAAGCGGCTAGCGCGGCAGGGATCGCTCAGAGTCGCAAATCCCTGCCGCTCGCGAAGCCGACAAACCGGAAGTCTCCCAAAGTCCACAAGTCTTAAAGTTGCCAAGTTTGAAGACCCCTGTTCTAAAGCTTCATATGATCAAAAAATCTAAAGCTTTAATATGATCAAATTCATATATCTAAAATATCATGGACTAGAAAGGAATATTTTCTGCATTCTGAGCAGGAGAAACCTGTTGCCTTTCTTTCTCTATATAGATTCTTATCAAATCACTGGAGGAGTTAAGTGGTGTGAAAAATAGGAAACAAAGTTTATTTTAGCAGTGCCAATTACGTGATTCGAACGTAATAAATGCTTCTTTAATTTTCCACACTGTATTTTATTAGTTCCTACTTATCTTATTTACCATTTGCTATTCTTCCTCCTTTTGGGACAGATTAGTTGATTGATTAGCTTAAAATTACATCTTTGCACAGAGAAACCCTGCTGCAGAATGCCAAAATCTACAATTATAGACTAAAAGATCAAGCCTCGTGGTGTAATCGGAACAATCTGGAACTGAACACACTCAAAACCATAGAAATGGTGGTAGACTTTAGGAGAAACCCTCCCATACTACCACCTCTTACAATACTAGACAACACAGTATCAACAGTAGAGACCTTCAAATTTCTAGGTTCTATCATATCTCAAGACTTAAAATGGACACCAAACACCTAACATTAAAAACTTCATCAAAAAAGCACAACAAAGAAATTTCTTTCTGCGCCAACTCAGAAAGCTCAAGGTGGCCCAAGGAGCTGCTGATCCAGTTCTACAGAGGAATTATTGAGTCTGTCATCTACACCTCTATAACTGTCTGGTTTGGTTCTGCAACCCAACAGGACAGACACAGACTTCGGAGGATAATTAGGACTGCAGAAAAAAACAATTACTACCAACCTGCCTTCCATCGAGGACCTGTATACTGCACGAGTCAAAAAGAGGGCTGTAAAAATATTTACAGACCCCTCACATCCTGGACATAAACTGTTTCAACTCCTACCCTCAAAACGACGCTATAGAGCACTGCACACCAGAACAACTAGAGACAAGGACGGTTTTTGCCCGAAAGCCATCACTCTGCTAAACAAATAATTCCCTCAACACTGTCCAACTATTTACAAAGTCTGCAATACTATTACTATTAATCTTCTCATTACTCTTTATCACCCATCCCCTCCCACTTGTGACTGTATGACTGTAACTTTGTTGCTTGTATCCTTATGATTTATATTGACTGTTTCCTAGTATGATTTGATTGCTTATTGTACCCTATAACTATTATTAAATGTTGTACCTTATGATTCTTGACTCTTAATGAATGTATCTTTTATTTTATGTACACTGAGACCAAATGCACCAAAGACAAATTCCTTGTGTGTCCAATCACACTTGGCCAATAAATAATTCTATTCTATTCTATTCAAAGAAAAAAGGGGTATGAATAAAACAGACCAGTTGGCAAAGCACCAGCACTTCATTAGACAAATAGGTGCCTCTGCCTTTGAAAAGGTTAAGGAGAATTGATGTCAGACTAATATCACTGAGATCTAAAGCTAGGATGAGTCTGTTGCAGGGGTGGTATTCAGCAGGTTCTGACCAGTTCTGGAGAATCGGTAGCGGAAATTTTGAGTAGTTCAGAGAACTGGCAAATACCACCTCTAATTGGCCCCGCCCCCATTTATTATCTGCCTCCCAAGTCCCAGCTGATTAGCTGGGTCTTCTTTTATTGCCCTGCCCAGGAGATCAGAGCTGGAAAGCAGGTTAGTGGGGTGGGGAGGAAATCAGAATTTCTCCAGCTCCAACAAAGGTACGGTGTTAGTAGCTATTTCTTAAGATGTATTGTGTGACTATATCTTGTCTGATATTTCAGATTATTTTCCTTGGTTAATTCTTTACTTTCTTTTTAGTTTTGTCAGTAACAGACGAGTGGTGGGATTCAAAAAAATTTACTATCGGTTCTGTGGGCGTTGCTTGGTGGGCGTGGCAGGGGAACGATACTGTAAAATCTCCATTCCCTCCCCACTTCTGGGGGAAGGTTACTGCAAAATCCCATTTTCTACTCTTTCCAGCTAGGAGGCAATATCTGAATGCAGAGCTCAGGGGGCTTACTCAAAAAGGCCACGTTTCTTGAGATTTCCAGCATGACTTCTCCATGAAGGGCTTTCTGGTTGGGATCCAGCTGAGACCACTCTTCCTTGGAGAAATGCACAGCCAGGTCCTCCAAGGACTGAAGATCCTGAAAAAAGAAAAATAGTTTCCCTATTCACGTAGAATTTGCATATACAGAATAATAGAGTTGGAAGGGACCTTAGAGGTCTTCTAGTCCAACTCCATGCTCAGGCAGGAAACCCCATACCATTTCAGACAAATGGTTGTCCATTTTTTTCTTAAGAGCTGTCAGGATTCCGGCAGTTACACCCCCCCCCCCCCCATTTAAATCATGAGTCTCAAGCCGAACTTCCAAAACTTCCAAAGGATTTATTGGGAGTTAACATGGCTAGCACTGCCTGGGTGTAGCCAACTCTGGGGCACATCATTCATTGTCACCCTTGACCCTGGTTTTCCCCCACCCCCTGGGTGTATCGAAAATACATATTCTCCAATGGGACACATCCATAGCTAAAAGTCATCAATCATGCTCTCCAGTTAGAATTTTGTGCTGCAAAAACTTCAGTCACCTAGTTATTATCGTTGAAAACATTTATGGAATGCAGTTTCGGCTTTGCAAGCTGCCGCACTGCTCCCCACTCCTTTTCTGTTGGCAACTCTAAAAAGACCATAGAAATATTTTAGGAGTTGACATTTCCTGTGTTGGAGCATTCATAACTTCTGGAGGCAATTTGTTCCACTGATTGTTCTAACTGGCAGGAAAATTCTCCTTAGTTCTACTGGTAGGTTGCTTCTCTCCTTGATTAGTTTCCACCGATTGCTTCTTGTCCTGCCTTTTGGTGCTTTTGGAGAATAGCTTGACTCCCTCTTCTTTGTGGCAACCCCTGAGTTATCAGAAGGCTGCTATCATGTCTCCCCTAGTCCTTCTTTTCATCAAACTAGACATACCCAATTCCGGCAATCGTTCTTTATGTGTTTTAGCCTCCCGTCCCTTAATCATCTTCGTTGCTCTTCTCTGCACTTTTTCTAGTCTCAACATCTTTTTTACATCGTGGCGACCACAACTGCATGCAATATTCCAAGTGTGGTCTTACCAAGGCATTACGTGATCTTGGTTCTCTTCTGTACTTCACACATTCCAGAAAAGGGCTATTTTTTCTGGTGTTTACAAAATAAAGAGGGTTTTTTTGGGGGGGTGGGGGTCTTCTCCAACATTTCAGCCAATCAACTTTGAGGCCAATTTGAGACTTTGAGGTTCTCTGACAAACCAGTCCTGCCACGTTCAAATGCTGGGAGAACTCAGAACTCATCAAGGGTTTTATGTACACCATCAATATGCAGATGACAGGCAGCCAAATTCCATAGGAATCTCTTGGTGCTGAAACTGCAGAGGTAGGCTAATCAGTGATTTGAACCCAAATTTCTCCATCCTGAACTCCAGTATCCTACACCAAGCCCCTGAAAAACACCTCTTATGTTTCTCCTCTTACTTGAGCTGGAGTTTCAGCTGCTCTTTGGGGTCCACCCGAAAAAGGAGACATTCCTACAAATGACAATGACAATATGATACTCCCTGGGAGAGAGAGAAAAAAGCGACAGAAGAATTTTTAGAAGCATCATTAATAAAACATGGAGAGATACCACAAACAATCTCACTTCTTTTACCTCTTGAAGTGTCCTGATTTGGAACATCCCGAGAGACCCCTCGGAAAAGCGGCTGCTCGGAAGGACATGTTGAATTTCTGCCTTCCTCATGATGCTCCGTCATTACCCCTGGGACCTGAAGAAAAGGAATGATGGGAACAACACACTGGAACAGTTGGATTCTCTTCTCTACCGTACTATGAGCCGTGGTGGCACAATGGTTAAATTGCAGTACTGCACATTGACTCTGCCCACTGCCAAGAGTTCGATCCTGACCATCTCAAGTTTGACTCAGTTTCCCATCCTTCCGAGTAAAATGAAGACCCAGATTGTTGGAGGCAATATGAAGATTCTGTGAGCCGCCTATGAAACGGTATATAAACCTAAGTGCTATTGCCACTCGTAACTACAAGGATGCCTCTGGCTAGGACAGGGGTGTCAAACTCGATGTCAGGGCTCCGACATTCCACCCTCATTCAAATCACGAGTCTCTAGCCACATCTCTCAGAGTTTAAAAAAAATCATTTATTAGGAGTGAACATGTCAGCGTTACCTGACAGCCAGCCGACTCTGAGACACATCATTCATCTCACACTTGACCCTGGTCTTCCCCCACCCCTGGATGTATATCCTCCAAAGGGACACATCCATAGCCAAGAGTCATCAATCATGCTCTCCAGTAATAATCTTGTGTGCCAAAAGCTTCAGCCGCCTAGCAATTATCTATGAAAACATTTGAGGTATGCATTACTTCCCCCACTCCCTTTCTGCTGACAACTCTAAAAGACCGGAGAAATATTTTTGAGTTGACACTCGATTTCATTGAGGGCCACATCAGCATTGTGTTGGACTTTGGAGGGCCAGGATAGGAGTAGTGGGTCAGGATAGTAGGGTGGCCGTGGGCAGCTTGCCGTCACTCATCGATGCGCTGTTTTTGGCCGTGACAGCCTCCTACAGCCCTCTGCCAGCGAAAATGGAGCCCCCCCCCCCATGAGCGTGGCCCTTCACTGGCAGAGGCACTGCGGGCCGGTCCTTCGCTGTTTCCTGGATGGCCCCATGGGCCAGATCAAAGCACCCTGTGGGCCGGATCTGGCCCCCAGGCCTTGAGTTTGACACCCCTGGGCTACGAGAAGGTAACCAAACAATCATTCAACTACAGAAGAACAAGCAACATATAAATATAGCAGTGATGGGATTCAATTTTTTTTTACTACCGGTTCTGTGGGTGTGGCATGGCTTGGTGGGCATGGCAGGGGAAGGATATTGCAAAATCCCATTCCTTCCCCACCCCACTAACCTGCTTTCCAGTTCTGTTCTCCTGTGCAGGGCAACAAAAGAAGACCCAGCCAATCAGCTGGGACTTGGGAGGCAGAGAATAGATGGGGCGGGGCCAGTCAGAGGCGGTATTTGCCAGTTCTCCAAACTACTCAAAATTTCCGCTACCGGTTCTCCAGAACTGGTCAGAACCTGCTGAATACCATTTCTGAAATATACCCTTCTAATATTAACTGCAGAAAACCGAAACATTGTTTATATAATATTAAAATTCATTTAGAATTTTCCAAAGCAATGTTGTCTCACCGGCCACTCGACCTGCTCCTTCTCTCCTTCCACTTGGCTCAGGAGGAAGCCTTCGGCCAGGGCCACCGCCTGGGACGTGGTCTCTACTTCACACTCCCGCACCCAACTCTCCATCTCGGGGGGCAAGAGGGCCAGGAGCTGTTCCAGGATCACCAAATCCAGCATCTGAGCCTTCGTGTGTCTCTCTGGCTGTAGCCACTGGCGGCAAAGATGGTGGAGGCGGGTGCAAATTTCTCGGGGACCCTTAGACTCTTGGTACTGGATGCTCCTGAAGAGCCTGCGCTGGACTTCTGAACTGATGGCTTTTTCCTTCAGGATCTTCTGCCTGGTTCCTCCCCAGTTTTCCATACATTTCCCTTTCCCAGGTCCCTTGTCTGCTGGGTACTGTATCTCCATTTCTTCTCTCTTTTCCAACAACGCTCCAAACTTCTGTCTTCGGCTCTCTTTGCTTATCAGACACCGGTTGTCCTTCGATTATTATTATCTCTCATTTATTCCTTCATACAGCTATTAGAATAGAATAGAATTCTTTATTGGCCAAGTGTGATTAATTTCCAATATCATATCTAAACAACAATAACAATATTATTATTGTGTGGGACACTATATTTTAAAAAACAACCCTGACCCATTACATGAATAGAACCATATAATGAAAAGGGAGGGAGGGAGGGAGGGAGGGAGGGAGGGAGGGAAGGAAGGAAGGAAGGAAGGAAGGAAGGAAGGAAGGAAGGAAGGA